ATATATATAAAATATATAATAAGGTGGCTAATGTACTGTCCATGTTATATTAATATTAATTTACTGTCACTTCCCCAGTTCCTGTGCCTTAATTGGTTCCAATCGCTTCCAGGTATAGAATTGTTAAATCAAGAGTACTCAGAATTAGAGATGAGATGGATTGCAGATATTTCTGAAATGAAAAACATAACTCTAAATTTCATATAGATTATACTTAGCAAATCTAAATATAAGCGATCTACAAATGCCTCCTTTGTCGCTTTTTATGAATTGAGATGCTGTTGAAATAATATGAAAATCTGCATTCCATCTCAGAGTGTAAGACACAATGGAGGCAGATCTTGGAATTCAAAATTCAGTGTTTTCAGAGAAAGGCACTCACCAGTTCAACCCGAGCAAGGATAATTGGGAGACCGAATGCTGAGACCACAATCCCCGTAGTGAAGAAATATGCCAGCTCTCGACACGCATTGCTGGCTGCATCCGTGTCGTCACTCACTCTTTTAGCAATGAAGTGAGGAATAGGTGACACAGCATAAAACATCAAGACAAACAGAGGCCAGTACACTCTGCAAAAGAAGTAAAGAAACAAGAAGGAATACATTCGTGAACAAATTGCTTTTATCCCTGTTTTGACATGGCTGCTAGTCCTAACCTCAGTCATGCCTCATTGTGACTAGGTCTATTTTGTGGCTACAGAGCTGTAGTTATCTCAGTCTCTTTAATGGGGATTAAAAATATTTAATTGCATTATATAATGAGAAACTGGTTATACTCATCCCCAACAGTACAAAGTTGATGACATGATGCCGTGATGTTAAACAGGTCTTCAATAACAGAGCTTTTAGTGACTCATCATCATCAAATGAAGGTTGCAGTGCTGCTGGGAAATGTGAAGACTGTATTTTACAATGGTGAGAACATCCAGGTTATGTCAAACTAAGAAGGAATGTGTACTGATCATCTTGCACAACTCTTCCCTTACAGGTTCACTTAAGAAAAGGCTGTACACATACCCATACTCTTCCAAGGCACATCCCAGCATGAGGAACGTTAGGCCAATCGCACCACTGAAGGACAGCCCCACTAAAGCTGAAAGACAGATTAAAGAACTCTGTTATACAGTACATATTAGCCTCAAGAAGGAATTAAAAGAGGTAGCAATCAAGCTGCCACATTGGTTTACTCAGGAATTCCATTTTCACATATATACACCATCTAGTTAGTACTAGGATTATACATATTATACAAGTTTTGCAACTAATTGGCAAAAGCAGTTTTCATAAGAGGCTGCATTTCTCAAAACGCACTGCTAGTGAGCATGACAATTATCATAGATTTGCAGGTTTAAGAAAGAAAAACAAACTGCTGTTGATGAAAACTGCTATTCAGTCTGCTCATAAGACAAATGTTTTAAAATGGTTTGTGACTATGTGGGTCAGCCCACCGTCTTGATTATGGCAAGACCCCATTTTGTGTCATATATTTCTACCTGTCAAGGGTAGAGAGAGGTGGAGCCACATTTCTGTCTGGTCTATAAAAACAAGCAGTTCCAAAAGTGGGAAGATAAAACGCAATTGCTACAAATTCTTTACAATCACTATAGTCACTACAGTGTTTAAGACGTTGAATACAGAAGCGATGGATTAGCTTTTGAATGACTAGTGCTGCCACCTAGTGAAACAACCAGTAATTGTCAATAATAAATACAAGCAAAAGAGATCAAGAATCTTTTTTACATCTCTCCTGTAAAAGTGGTGAATTGGTCCCATTCAAAATAATGTAATAAATATATAAAGATGTATTCAAACTCCGTTAAGTTAAATGGCTAAGAATCATCATGAAGCTACAATAAGAGATGATTAAAATACCAATACCTTTTTAATCACCGCCTCACAGATGTTTTGTGGATTTTTTTAATGAGGATTTACACTACACTTAACCAATTGTGTAAACTAATATTAATCTAAATCTGTACATACTTATAGAATCTTTTGGTCTCAAGATAAATAAAAATGGAATATTCTTACAGGACCCTTTACAGTTGAGTAGGAGAACTGCCAACTCTCTCCTTCCTGAGATACTACAGTTTATTAAAACCTGAGTTGGAAGGCAGACAAGCTGGCAAATGTGATAAGCGAATAAATTCCAAGCTAAACAAGCCAATAACAGATTATATATACATATTATACACCGTATTTTATTTTTTCCAAGATTAGGCTAAACCAAATCATTTCCCACAGTGACTTCCTCATTCCCTCAACAGTGTAAGGTATGTTTTCTATCCCAACGGAGAAAATTTTGCTTTATTGCTCCAGATAAGAAGAAATCTTACTGAGCACATAAACAATGAAGTTAGGACAGCAAGTAGAGTCTTTCCAAAGACCTCAATACTGGAGGAAAACGTACATGTGTACAAAAGTGGATTATATAGAAGCAGTTTAAGCACATAAACCATGAGAAACAATAATCAGAAAAACAGCCTATTTTACCCATAAGTGCCTGTCATGTTACAATACATAAACACAGCAATGGTATCAAGTCTAGATCTGAAGGAGCACAGCCTCTATGCCTCAACAATGGGCCCCAGACCAAAATGGAAGGAGAACAGACGGTAATGTTTACTTCTTATAGGGCAGTGCGGTGGCTCTGTGGCTAAGGATCTGAGCCTATGGCTGTACATTTGCTGGATGGTATCCCTCAGCCAGCAGAGTAATCCTACTCTGTTGGGTCCCTGAGCAAGGCTCTTAACCCCAACTGCTCCAGGGGTGCCATATAAATGGCTGACCCTTCGCTCTGACCCCAAGCTTCTCTGTGTGTCTCGTGGAGAGGAAGTTGGCATATGCGAAAAGACTAATTCCTATTACAAGAAATTGTATATAACCAATAAAGTGATCTTATCTATACTCACTTGGTGTGCTGGACAGAGATGCCAGTTATCAAAATTTGTACTGAAAAGATTGTTAACATATGAAAAAGAACATAATATATGCATGGTGATATACAAATAGCTTTTTAATAATAATGCCTGTCCCAATCCTGAAGCTTCTTCATCTGTGAACAAAAAAGGTGGTCATATTCCCATATTCTTTCAGTTTTTTTTGTCAAGCCTCAGATGTGCACCTATTACTTCTACTGCTGAGAGGCCTCCTTTCCTTATTTTGCAAGCAAAAGTCTTAATCACTTTTAGAAAGGAGGTACACGATCAAGGAACAAATGTAAAAACAGAGTGGTGCTTATCAGGACTCAAGGTGCAGCAAGTTAAACAATGATTCCATCAAGAGGGAAAGGGTTCTTCCCCTGCTCTTACCAAAATAAAGATAGTTCAAAATGAACAAATAGGTTTTGATTTGCTTAACTCTAAATATTGGTGAACTGCCAAAGCAACTGACATTAGCTTCCATTATCTGGGGGGGAGGGGGGTACTGAGTTCTTAAAATATTTCACCTTGAAAGTAAGATGTGGTTTATTAGTTATTTATTTGACCTATTTCATTCTTTAATAGATTATCTATTTTGATCATATTATGTTTCAAAGGCATTGACAAAGTCAAGTCATCGGATTTATTCAGAATGAACAGTGAAACACTAGATGACTTATAAAATAATTGAAAACCAAGAGTAGAAGGCATTTCTACTTTGTGCAAGTGGGAAACAACCTGCCAAGCCATGTTTTGGAAGCCAATACTTCAGGTTCTTTAAGAACAAGTTGGATGGGAGCTTTAGATCAACTGCTGAATACCAAACGTGCTGATGGGCCAGTTGCCTTCCTCTCGTTTGTGAGATTTCATGCATTTTTATCTATGAAGGTAATTTAGTCGTGTTTTGTCATATGAAGGTAATGCGCAATGAAATAAAAATAAATTAAAAGGCTTATCAGCTTTGAAACGCGTCCAAAACCCATTTGCTCTGCATACAGTATGTAATCACAGGAAACTGTTGTAGAGTTCGCAACACAATTTGTCACTATAACTACGTTTTATTCTCGGTGGCAATATATGTTTATTAACTGGTCACCTCAAAAAATACTACTTTGTGTGAGCATAGTCTGTTTTAAGAAAGAGCGTATGAATGGCGGTGTCATAAATAATTATAACTATTATTAAATGTAAATAATATCAAAGGAAAATACCTTTAATCCCGGCCATGTTCTTCAAATTAGCTGCAGTTTTCTTCCTTTGTTTTTTAATATGCAAGATCACTTCCCGTTTCCTCAAACCATCGGCTTGTCTGTGTTCGACTACTTGGGTCTATCAGTACGGCGAGGTTCCTGACGAAAATACACGAAACATCCCGAAAGGTACTGTGCTGTTTGGGCAGCTCAAGCGTATTTTATTCAAAACCAAAAATGTTCTGGGTTAATTTAAAGAATTTACAGACATTTTCATATTACAATGTCCCTATATACCCATCAGGATATATGTAATTGCTTTTATACTTAGACGATAAACACTGGTTTCTGCCTACCTTTAGAAAACCGAAAAAGGGGAATAACTCCGGGTCAGTGTCAGGAAGATAATGCAGCTGAAGAATAAATGTAAGGAATGTCTCAGAAGCTTAAAGCTGTATAAAATAGAAGAGTAGGGACTGTCGTGCCATGTGAAATCTTACTGCACTATTACTACGGTCAGATGACTTTTGTAAAGATACAGAACAATCGTTTTTCTCCTCCGGATCTGATAAATTAAAAATTGCTGAACTGTCATATAAAGTGCATAAAATTAACTACAGATGGCTCTTTGCCTCATATGATCGCATCCTCTATAACTTTGCTAGCCTTATTTACTTAAACCGTCAGGAAAATGTAAAAAGCTAATTAATATCGGCACATTTTAAGAAAATGATCATTATTTATTGTAAGTTCTAAAGACATGGAGTAATTAGTGTGTCAAACTCAATTGCTGGAGGGTCCAGTGTTTCTGTTCTTTATTCCAGCCTGAGTAGTCAGTTATACAAACAAATTATGTTCTAAATTATCCAGAATATGTTTATTTCCTAAGGTCTTTTACAGCTGGTTACTCAAAACCTTTAATTAAATTAAATATAAAGCTGCCAGTAAAACATCTCAAAGCCAGCTTAGATGTATTAAATTATGCAATCAGTTACCCAGAGGAAATATGGAGTATTTGTCAGGGGTAACGGATTCTCCTGACAGAGAAACACCTACCAACAGATTTACTCTGGAAGTCTCCAGAGTTGGAGTCCCTTGGATTAAGATAAATCCTGATATGACAGTAAGATTTAAAACTAACCATTTTCACCAAAGTACATACAGTACTATAAAATGATGATAATGGTTTGCTTGCGTTTGCATGATATTTTCGTCCCCATAAATTCCAAAGCACTTCACACATAAGAAGGTACCCACCTCTGTAATGAAAGGCAAACAACCTCACAGCAGATCAGGAAGAGAAATTACTTTACCAATTTATTTAAGGATTGAACTAGACTGATGAAAACCAGAGAGAAACATTGGGGCTATCACCCCTTCTTTTACCTGACCTCTTTAATAACCAAGTGGTCAGCACCTCAGTTTAATGCCATGTGCAGAAGACTGTACCATTTGGCAATTCTGGTTCAGATGAAAGAGCACCACCTACTGGTCCACCAACACACTGAAGGTAGTCCCATTGCTGTGCTGACCAGACCCAGTCTGGCTTAGCCTCTGAGATGTGTAGAGATCAGGTGGCTAAGAACTTTTTGTATAATTAGGATTTTGGAAAACAAAATGTCTCCTCAATATATTTATATAAAGGAAAGCATTTTAGACTGAAAAGAGATAACAGACTGAGAAAATATTTTTGTTGTTTTTTTATTTGTGCATTGCACATCATATATACAGGCTGGTATGGGTAACAGAACCAACAAGTCACAGTAACATAATCCACATTTCAGTAATACTTTTACAGCAGACAAGCAAACACATGTTGTATCAAAACTCACCACCTTTTCTCAAGTTGTTTTTTTTTGACAGCATACAGCCAATATGTCAAGGTTAGCCTGAACATTGCACATCTCAAAATAGACACATCTCAGTAAGCAGGGGGTTATCTTGCAAATGTACATTTTTTTACCAGACTTGTGGTGATACTCTGTGATATTCTGTGCACTGTATAAATTACACCAGGTTATGGGATATATACAGTATAATTTGTTAATACAAATTTCTTAGTACATCTTAGTATACAATGAAGGAGACACCTGTGTGCGCATAACATTGTGGCATTTATACTCCTGTTTGGCATTTATTAAACATTAATCACTAACAGCAATTAAACAGCCCATTTCAAGTGGAAGAGTGTGCAAGAATTAAGGTACATGTTCTTCATTATAAACCAAGCATGTTTTCCTAATGAAAAACTAATGTACAGTACCAACACATTAGCAAATTACTGTGTGTAAAGGATATCCAATAACCCTATTTGTGTCTGTGATAATTCTGGGTGTTGCATATACAAATTAATTTTAAAGAAGTGTGCAGTTGTGAATTGCATGGTTAATTTAGAGCCAATAATTTGCAATTAGTAAATTATCCTTAATACTTCATGTCATAAATTCAATTTAAAAAATCACTGCTGGGTCTATAGCATCTGATGTATCTATAGCATCTTGTGTAATTAACTGAATTTCAAGTCTAGACACACACTCAAAGTTATTTTATTGTAATTTCTGGATTTAATAAAAAAGCAGAAATAAACCATCTAACAAAAAGTGTTAGGGCTTCTAAAATACACTAGATATAACCTGTCAATTTATGTATCACGGAAGCTCAGATATACTTCATGGAATCCAGCACAACAGGTGAAAACAGCCCAGAAGATGGAGACTTCATTGATCTGGTGAAAATTAAGCTTCTTTTTTATAGTTACAGAAAAATGGAAGATCACACTTGTTCTTAAAAAAACAGAAGCTAAATAATCTAATCTTTGTTAATGCATTATGCTACAAATATCACCCAGAAATTAAATGTGCTTTTTAAAATAAAATCTGTCCACAAATACTATAAAGTTATCTTTGAAAAGAAAAATACATTAGTAAGTAAATTCTCAGACTTAAATCAATCATAGCTTGAGTTCAAAGAACACAGAATATTTCCTTACACTTACACAGTGCTTTTCACCTCCAGTAGATCAGTGACCTATTTGTTCATATATTACAGAAAAAGAAAACAAGATTTTCCCTTGTTTTAATTTTTCAAATCCTTTACTGGTGTCACAGTCACAATGATGACCAGATTTGCACAAAATCTAGGATTAAGTACAGGGTAGCTAAGGGTTGTAAGAGAGACTTGGAAGTAAAAGAAACCTGCTGTCTCTGCCAACTTCAAAAAATCTATAACAAACAACACACTTCCCTAAACTTAACTGTGCAGAAAACTAACATATTAAGAGTAGAAAATCAGAAATAATTCTTTCCAAAAATCACAATTTCATATGGTGTTTTTATTCCTCACATTAAAACTGTTAGAAAGGAAATATGCCTCCTATGAAACATCCTTGAGAGTCTTTTGATATATTACTGCTCCTTCAATATATTCCAGATAAAAATCAATTAAGCGCAATTCAATGGGCAGGTGAGTTACCTGCTTTTCAGAACAATCGCTTGTCTTTTGTTCCTTTGAGAGAGGAGATGAATGCTTTAAACTTATGGAATGCTGACATTATACTACAGAAAAGACTGAACACAAGACATGTATCACCAAACGTATCTCATAAAAGGAAGACCACTGGGTCAAAGAATAAATACAGAAAAAGTACAAGAGTTACCATAACTCCCAAAGTCTTACTAAAAGTTCCATTATTGATCTGCAACACATTATTCATACAGTATGTCATTAGTAGTTTGTATTTGGTATGCAGCACGACAAATTGTTAATTTGCTTATTTAGAAAAGCTTTGTGTTGGCTCTATGAAAAGATTGTTTCTTTGTTGTTCTAAGGCTCCTCACATGAGTATGATGGTCAGTTCATTTTAGTCTCAGATTCTTCTATGGTGAAAAATTGAAATTATTTCTTTGTAATAAATACTGTTTGAAATAAGTAAAAGTGACAATTTTATGTTGTGTAACACATGGGCTACATTAGTTCTAACATAATAGAATAACAATATACTGGCCACAACCAACACAAGCTAGATTTTTATTTTTAACAGACAATTCAAATTTCCGTATGATTTTTGTGTCCTATTATTCTTTGGTGGGCATTCAGCTGCCTTCCCTGCTGAAATTCTGGCCCGTCAGTGTATGACAAACAACAAAGTCATTTAACAAACACAAAACACAGAATACCATATCCTAAAACACTACTTACAATGCTACTACTTAAAATGCTTAAATGTTTCCTTGAGGAAAAAAAATTCTAGCAAACATTTTGGTAACACTTTAGTTTAGTGGCTGCAAATGACACAGTACTATGTGTTTCCACAGTAAACAATTTTATGAACACTAAGGTAATCATTATTGAAGTGTTCAGATAGGTGAATTATCAGATTTTTAACAACCATACAATTAATTATTAGTAGGATGTAGTTTTTACAAAGTTATTAACACACTATTGTTATTCCATTCATCTCTTATAAATGGAATTTGCAGGTCATAACTAAAATATTATCAATATTTAATTAATTCTGCAGTATTCATATTATGAAAAATGATCAGGCAGTCTCTTTCATTTATATTATACTGCAACATTAAATACAATCTTCTAAGAAGGTGTAACTAAATTTTTACACCAGGTTGGCTATTTAATAACCAGGAACATGAATCAAGTACGGTGAATAGCACTTCAATGAAGCCAGCCTTCAATTAACGATGTGAGATGCTTCAGAGAGTATTTTCATGGTGACCCAGTGGAAAATTAATTTATTTGTCAGTTTTAAACACTAAAACAAGGCTATATAAACATTTGTTTAAAAACAAATAATAACAACTTGAATAAACCTATTTTTGCATAGACTCTGTATCTCACACCCATCAACAAAAAGCTCATAAATTGAGTTTAACAATAGATACTGTAAACCATTTACATAAACATGTATACAAATCAAAGACATGCAATTCTTAGTAATGTCAGAGAATGATACCTGTCAATAATGAACTTAGTGAGGAAAATGATCTTAGCAGTAATAACCAGAGAAGACTAGAGATAATTTGTCCACAAATCTTCTTACAGGAGATCTTAAAAAAGGGTAACTCAAACCACATTTTGGTCAAATAAGTCCTATTGACACAACTTGGATCCTACTGTATGTTTGATACATTTCTTTTGGAAGTTACAAATACTTTTTTAATTATTTTTTTTTTCCTGAAGGGTTTCATATTAATGCAGAACATCTCAATCGATGTTGATTTAGAATAAATATTAAAACTGAATGCTGTATATTAATGTCAATTAGATAGCGTTCTAAAAAACTAGAGTGGTCCAGCTGGGATGAGAAATCTGCAACACTGCTACAGTATCTCTGAGAGACAAAGCTGACTCAGAATACCAGATTTTGTCATATATTGTCACATACTGTATGTTGTATATTTTGTTGTACTGTATATTTTGTTGTTGAAAAACAAATGTTCCATTTAGAGATATTTCTATACTGCACTGTAACAGGATGTAACAAGGTACAGTAAATGCCTTGAGGCTTGTTCTACAGTGAATGCAAACATACAGTGGAAGCTGTTTGCCATATAAACATCTCATTAGCACCATTAGCTACATGCTGAAAGGTAGTTCTGCTACCTTCCAAGGCAATTCTCTGAAACGTTGTTTACAACTGAACCTGCATTGTATATTACTGTAGATTATGACATGGAAGGTTATGAAAAAAGAGTATCTGAACTTTTTTGTCTCTGTTGGGTGCATATCTCATCAATTCTGGACCTCCCTTGCTTTTTTGAAGTCTCAAGTCATGCTTCAGCCCAACACATTCTGTACAAGACTTTAATTTCTCCCATTTGACAGCACACACCAGTTACATGGGTGAGTCTGATGTTCACATCTAAACAGTTAACCTGTATATTGAAGTCTCTATTGGAAAAGAACCAATGCAACAGTGACATTAATAATAACAAAAAAGAATCACAGCACAGATCTGAAGGACGCATTACTGATTAGGGGGGTTTGAACTTCCTTGCATTTCAGTAAAGTGGCTTTTGTCCTTGGCTTTCAAATTCTGACCAAGCGTCATTCAATTCCATAAAAATCATCTTGGCATACTGTTCGTAGGGTTGCCCAGTTGCCTTAAAACAAGAGTAAGAGGAACAATTTCAGTATTTAGTACATATTTTGGCTCAGGTTTAAAACATTTACACTATTAAAAAAAACTGCATGAGGTCTGCATTACAGAAGAGTTCTATGATTTATACCCCTTATTGCTGATTTCCTGTATAATGTACTGTACTTCTGCTTTGAAACAGCTTTCACTACGAGACCAGGTTTCTGTCTTGACCACACCACTGTTAGGGCATTGTAAATTTACAAGATTGTTCTCCAGAGGGTTGAGATGATGTAAAAACCACATCATTCTCCATTAAGCTTATACTTTTTCCTATTATTATAATTTATGGTATGAAAAGAATCCTTTAGAGCAAAAAGATAAAAACTAAGCAAAATCTTTAAAAATACAAAAGGTATACATGTAGTGATCCATCAGTAAGTTATAGTAAAGAGCAAGTACTGCAGATGTTTATTGTTGCTTTAGGTTTGTAAAAGCTGTAGGGGTAATAAATGGGCACTTTCAGGACATCAAAAATTGAATATTTTCCCCATAATCAGCCCTAATGTTGTGTATGTGCAGTATCTGTCATTTTCTTTTTACTTAAAGTTTTTCAGAAAAAATCCATCACTTCATGCCTCAGAAAAGTCTGGAAAAACAGTGAAAAAAGGACTTTTCTGCACGGCAAGCATTTGAAATCCAGAATACAGTGTTCGCTGCAAGGGAATTTGTTTCTCTGCAGTCTACCGAGAGACTTACCTTATCTGGATGAACCACGAGCACAGCTCTGCGATAGACCTTTTTGACCTGTTCCGGGGTCACCAGGTCAGCCATGCTTATAGGCTTCCACTTGGTCTCTCCCTCCCACAGGACCGTGTGCATTGTGGAGAGCAAGGCGCGGATGTTCCGCTCCTTCCCTTCAATCCACTCCAGAATCTAAACAAGACGCAGAAAAGAACTGGGGCTGAATTTGGGCTGCCGTTTCTGACCACTCTTGGTTTCTGACAATTGTCTCCCACCTGCTACTGTCTGACATCTTCTAATTCATCCATCTACCTTATAACCTCCTTATCCAATACAGGGTCGGGGGGCCTTGTCCCAGCAAGCACACATAGACACACTCACACGACAGCCAATTTTCCCAGAAGCCAACTGACCTACCTGTATTTGGATTGTGGGTGGAAACTGGAGCACCAGGAGGAAACCCAGGAGAACACAGGGATACAAACTCTCAGACAGCCTCCCAGAATTTGAGCCCAGGGCCTCAGCACTGGAAGGCAGTAGTGCTAACCACTAAGCCATCTTGTCACCCTACATCTTCCAATTTTTTAATCTCTTACCTTTAGCTTCTCAGGGTCCATTTCCTTGGCCATCTCTTCCTTTCTCATTTCTGCTATTGTCTTTGGACACTTCTTTTCCTTGCTCGCTGAGAAGCCTTGTCCAGACAGTAAGTCATCAAAGTTAGCATCTGTCACTTTTGGTTTGGTCCCTGAGCAAATACAATTTAAAAAATATTTTTAAAATATAGCCCATATTAATTTCGTTTACTGCCTTATTCCTATTGAATTTATTGCCGTATTTGTTCATGAGTCAATTCACAGTTTTTGGAGGTTTTCAATTTTTGCCCATAATTTAAAAACAAGGTACACTTATGCTTTAAAATTCTCCAGCAGTGCAAGATTGCTTTATGCAGTAATTAATTTGTACAGCTCGGTAGCTGCTATTAAGTTTCTGCCAATTTAAGGCGGACAATTTCAACAACAGGCTCTCATTGTTATAGACCAAGAGGATTAAGAAATACTTGTTTTCAATTGCTGGAGCACATCTGGTGTGAGAGGAACACCTGATATGAGCTGTTGTGTCCTTGTGAATTTGATACCCAGGCGAATACAGTTACCCTGTCATGGACTCACCGAAGTTGGCAGTCTGTTTCCCACTGGTATTGGGAGCACTGCTCATGCTGGCGAAGCTGACATTATAGTTAGGCCTGTTCTGGGGGGAGGAGTGGGGCATGGGCGGTGGGGCAGGCTTTCCCTGCTGAGGTTGCCATGACGACCCCCCCTGCTGCCAGGTGTAGCCGGTGTTTTGCTGCCAGGAACCTGTCGCAGTGTGCTGGGGGGAGGGTTTCTGGGGAGAGCCCATTGGAGGAAAGATGCCCCCACTGCCAGTTGGTGTTGTGGGCTTGCTGGAAAACCCGGAGCCACCTGTTGGGTGATTACTGAGGATTTACAAGGAGTTTGTAAAAATCAGTGCCAGTAGAGTTACTAAGAAAGAGATTGTTCACCAATTACAGCATGTCAAAAGCAGACTGAAAATTCTGACTACAGAAAGAAACAAGTTCATAAATCGGAAAAGTTGGAAGCAAGATTTCTTCCTGTGCAAAGAAAGAAAAAACCTGGAGACATAACATTTTTCTATCCACGCCCATGTGATGGACATTCCAGTGGCATTGAACCGAGGAAAAACATACCTCCTAAATTAGCTCCAAGATTCCCAAGGTCAGCAAAGGGGTCCAAAGTGTTAGGTTTTGGCTGATGTGTGGGAGTACTGTGGACAGAGCCAGTAGGACTTGTGCTCGCTGACTTACTTCCCATCCCAAAGCCTCCATGAGCAAAACGTATGGGCGAACAAAAGTTAAATGGAAGGGTGTCAACAAAGAAGTGGCACAACATTTATTACAGTAACAAATTAAATGACACATCTGTGGTTTTAGCAAAGAATACACAATGAATACATAATTAAGTTATAAGGAGATCTATCTCCAGCCCATGTGGGCCTCCTAGCAAGACAATTTGTGGTTCTAGACCTGAAAGAATCTGGAGAAAAGCCTGCAATTATTACCTGATGCAGAAGGCTTGTTCCACTCCCATCCTCCCATCAGGTTCTGCTGCTGTATGTTGACTGTAGGGGTAGTGGGAGGGACTGGAGAGGTTCTTCCTACAGGGAAAAAGCAACGCACAGTCAGCAAGATAAACAGCGTTGAGAACAGTGGGGCCTTCGAGAGGGAGAAACAGTGGGTTAGATAAGTATTTTAACTCATAAACAGCACTGGCTAAAAGTAAACAAGAAACATCTTAACTTGAAGTCTAGGATTAAAAAAAAAACAGAAAATGGAACTACTGTACATCACCCCGTGACAACGCAGTCTCTACAAACTAAAATGGGCAATTTGTATGATTTGCTACTTAATTACTGCGAATTAAAAGAACCTAGAAAAGAGGACTATAATCAGTTTCTAGAATGCTGACAGCAATCAGATTCTGTACATGTATTCATTGCCTCTTACACAGAGATGTACACAACATCTCTAGTGTTTGTCATGAGATCCTGAGCATAATACACATATGACAGAATAAGACATGTTCAGTACAGAAGTGCAAGCCTTACCCATGTGAAAGGGGTCACTGCCTGTGCTCTGTGAAGTAGGGGATTGGGACCGAGTCACATGCAGAAAAGGGTCAGTCTGCCCTGTATTACCTGTAGCTAAGAATGATCCCAAAAACTCCTGGCCCTGAGGTTTAGGACTGGATCCAAATGGATCAAAACCTGTTACAACAAATAAGCCCTCGTTACTTTTAATACAGGTGCAGCTAAAGCAAACCAGTCACTAAATATTGTGCATAGCTTCATCGTGAAGACAGATCAATAGATAACATTTAATACAATGAATGAAGTCCAATTGCAACCGGTAAATATTTTATACCAGATATGGAAGGAAATCTAAATCTAAGATAGAGCATAAGAAAGTCATTTTAAAGTACAAGAATGCAATTTTGTGTTTTCTAAAATGTTGTTTATTCCCAGCTAACAGAAAAAAAACTGATGGACGTGAGTGAGAAGGCCAGTACCTTCTTTCGGGCGAGGGGATGGAGATGGAGACGGAGACACCGCTGGTTTGCGGGGGGTGGATGGGGCGGAAGCAGGCCTGCTGTCAGGTTGTCTGCCCTGGGGGGGGGCGTCTCCGAACAGGTCGCTCAGCAGGTCGGTGTTTGTGGCAGGAGCCGCGGAGAAGACCTGGTCTCCGGGACTCCCGTCCAGACCCAGGAGGTCCACATCCTCAGCAGGAGGTGCTGGTGCCGGGAGCTGGGCCTCCTGTTTTTTGCTGCTCCTGGGCGTGCTCTGCTGCCTCTGCGCCCCGGGTTTCTCGTTGCTGGCATTGCTCTGCTGACTGGAGAGGGACAGCAGCTCGTCATCAGAAGGCTCGCTGTCCTCCTTCGCCAGAGCGGTGCGGTCCTCTGCCCCAGACTGGGCCCTGCTGGGATCTGGCAAACACGGGGAAATGCTTCTTAAACTGGACATTTCAAAGCCCAGTTTAAAATCGTCAATTAGACAAGGTTGTGACTTGTTTTATGAAACCAGAAAGGACAGGTTTGAAACTAAGACTACGCTACCCAGGATTCTAGTACTAGTATACAGTGGACTGCCATTTATACTGTAGCGCTCTCAGGTTCATGTGGTATGCACCCTTGCTGCTGCTGCCTCATGTCGCCCCCCCCACCGATGGAGACTCGAACCCGGGCCTCCGGCTTCACTCGACAGGGACCCAGCCAGTTGAGCTAAAGGGAAATCTCCCTTCAGCCTGGCAGCCACGGTCCCTGCTATTCACAGGGAAGGGCAGTGATGTCACCGCGCTGGTAAGCCGGCTCGCACGACCTGTAATGTCGGCCGTATGCGTTACAATACAAAGTACCAAACACGAGACACAAGGAGCTCCACTAAATTCTTTAAAATATTGAGGGCTTCTCCTATACCCAATTCAAACTCAGTACAGTTAAAAGGATCTTGATGTGTTCACAGGGTACTTTTAATTTCAGATTTATTTATAATTTTTTAAAATTGCGATAAATGAGCATTACGTTTCCGTTTTGGGGCTCTAATATTTGCCTTTCGTGGGAGCTTGTGAAAATAAATGATGATGAAAATGTGAAATAAAAACCTGGATTAAATGAGCTCTCCTCTGTATTAAAAAAACAGCTGACTAGCTCTGCAAATTCTAATGACATCTAGAAAAACAGGCACACTCATCGGTTCGCATTAATTACAGTACGTTGATAACCTTCTATTATGCATTATTTCTTATGCCACAGCCTTACCTTCAAAAGCCTCCATATCCATTTTGTCTTGTTAGAAAAAAATAAAATTGGATTAAAAAGGGTCATTATTTTAATTGTGCTAGAAGGTTATTCAGGGAAATCTTTTGCCTTTCGTTATTTTTATACTCAGAAAACCTAAAAAAGGGTTGTTCAATGAACCCACATACTGTAAAGTATACTTTGTATGCTTCGCCAAAGCAAATTTGCCTGGCTTTAGAAACAGTTTTGAAAGTAGAATGAAAAGTCAATGAAATGGCAGCTTTTCTTTTTAATAATTCAAAAAGCTGTAGCATCCAACCTGGTATTAGTATTTGATACCATCAATGAGAACATACACTAATTGAGAGAAAAAAAAGAAATAGCCAGAAAGGGATTACACTGGCCAGTTTTTGAGCAGATGAGGAATTCCCATTTTACAGCATAAAACTGGAGAGTTTTCCAGGTTACATGATATTCCTGTTAAAAAAAAAAATGAAATTCCGGACTGGTGAAAAAAATTCAACCAGATGTGTGATGGGCAGGTTCTTATGTGATTTTGGTTCCATGATACCATACTGATTTGATTTTGATAGGTTCCATGACAGCTATGTACATTAAAACAAAATTTGGCCCAGATAATGTGCAGAGGTCAACACACATTTTTTTTCTTCTGAAACTTATAATTTCAGGCTTCTCTACTCAGAATCTAAATTTTCAAAGTTTTACAAAAACGTATATTTTAAGCAACTTTATTTCTATTAAAAGTATTTCAATTTACTGTTTTCCCATGGGACAATCATGAATCACATATTTCACGGCACATTCATGTTCGAGTCTTTCACATCGAATTGCTTATTTTGCAAAATGCTCTTTCTTCAGATGTTTCCTCTGCTACTTGCTTTACAGTCAGTGATATCTATATATCACGTTCTCAAGTTGCACCTTCTCATAAAGTGCACCTGAAGATAAGGCCAGCTTTAGCAGCTAAGAAAACCTCCACTTTACCATAATATGTGTGCTGCTATGCTACAGATTTCTATCTTAATAAGGCATCTTAATAAGGATCATCTTAATAAGGCACATTCACCTTACTTATTGCTAGAGTACGCATGTTACCAAATAGCACTAACAAGTCTCATGTCTACTTTTAAAAACCTTTAGTGAATGAGTCCTAAGTGGTTCCACTTGTGAAGAAATTCAATAATAGCTTGAAAATGGTAGTGTCCAACTCTTCCAATGCATGGATGCAAATATGAACTGATCTGTCTGGGTCCTTTGTTTGAATGCTCTCCAGTGGCTACCTTGCCAGGTCAAGTAGAAGAAACTGCTCCAGTATTCCTAAAGTTATCTTGCTGTGGTTCTGAACTTCGTAAAGGGGGCCTACTGTACCTGAAGCAAATAATATCCATGTTTTGTGTATGGTATGAAGACGTTACAATGAAGCAACCATGCATTTTAAGAGTCTGTAAAGTCAACTTGTGCCTGTGAGTATAGGCTTTTTCCCATCGGTGAGAGACGGAATGAATTTGCATCCATGCACCTCAGGAGTTTATTTGTGAAAAACCTGTGAAAGCTCGATTTTTCAAGTATCTTTTAATTGAATGTCCGGTTCCTCCATTTTAAGATATGATACACATATATTTCAATTGGTTTCACAGTCAATTTCAAAACTCAGGAAGATTATGATTTTGATTGGGTATGGGAACTTATGAATAAGCTCATTTGCTATCATAAAGAATTTCTTTGATGATTATATATTTTTAATCCACTGCAAATGTGCAGTCAGAGGAGCGTCTACTGTAGATGGAACTCATTTTTCAACGGTTCTTATATGGAATATGAATCATGCTCTATTGTCACCTCTTTTTATACATTTTCATAAAATAGCATAACATGTTTTTTTGGTGTGTAATCTTCTGGAAGTGCCTTCACCGCCAACCTTCTCAAGGTTAACACTGAGTAACCTGCATTGTTCAGCTGTAGTTCTTCCAATAATAAGAAATAAGTGTGTTCAGCTCAGCTGCAGTTCTGCAGAGAAATGTAGTTTGATTTGTGATTCATGTTGCAAGGTTATTTTCATTTGAAAATTCAATTTAGAGTTGCAAGGGCCAAAATATAAGGCCAAATTAAAAGGTTTTGAGTTTGTGCTATCTCTGTTCTTTGAGTCCATGAGATGTTGTTATCCTTTATACACCTTAAAAAGCAGGACTAGCACAGTATAGGGTCATGTGCCTATGCTCTTGACTGATGCTGTTTATATTAAAATACAATTTTGAACTTTATAGCTTTTAAGTCTATCACTCAAGCATAATGCTTTCATCTTTCTCCACTCAAGAGAGTTTCCAGGTTTCTCTTGTCCCCTTAAAACAGTCATTTTTATTGAAGATGGTGGATGGCCTGACACTTGGTCTAGCCCATGTGAATGTACAGATGTACTGTACCCAGATCCTGTATTTGTTTAAATAATACAATACATTCATCATTAAGCTCATATGCTTATAAAGTAAATTCAATGGATCACAAAGGTAACACATGAATCACAGAAAACGTTAAAATAATGCTAATTCAATTTAGCAGATGTTGATGTTAGAGCTGATCCCCAGCAGACAGACGTTTACACTTTTTAAAACTTTTATTTCTTCATGGTACTTTTGTTTCCTCCCTTGTCATGCCATGAGCCTCTTGTCTGTCTTATTTACAGTACATAGTAAATATGCAGATTGATTGATCTAAGTAAGTTTAGATTAGATTGATTGATTGACTGAATGATTGATTCTCTGTATCAGCTAACTCCTTCGCAACCTAGAACCTTAACTACTGTAAATTCTGCAAAAGTAAACAACATTTCAGTTGCTCTTGTGGCTTAATGAATCTTTCCTAATGATATATTTGTCCATTCCAGGCATTTCAAGGTTCTGATGTGCTGTAGCCCTTTTCAAGTGCTTGTAAAAAAATGCATTTTGCTATTACCGCAGAATGGAAACTCCTGCCAAAACCTTCAGTGGCGAGCAATGTCTGTGTGACTTCCTTCACCATTTCTTACCTACAACTGCTAAGGCATCCTGATGTTCCTGATGACAGGAAAAGAGGATGTTGGGACTCAGGTCTTTTGTGGGGTACTGCTCCCATGGTGGAGTGAGATCCTTCTGCTTGTCGGCACTCTCCACCTCAATGTCCAGCACCACATGGAAGAGTTGTGGGTATTTCTCTGGGGAATCACAGGCGTCCAACTCAGCCCTGAACATGTGACAGAAGGGTCTTGTAATACACTGTAGTAACCATTACAGAATGAGAGCTCACCATCACCAGATGCACACTGATATACAGTTGTACTAGGAAGGCTAAGGTTAAAAACAGTGAGTAATACATTCATAAGGTACAACAGAATTGTTAAATTAATCAATTGTTAAAACTGTTATCTTTACTCTGGAAAGTTTTGTTAAAAATGTCTTTTCAAAACCACACAAGAAAAGCGATGGTATAATAAGAAACTGAAACTTACTTTGTAAACTTTAACACTGTAGTGCCTGGAGCAATGAAGCCAGTATGGAACTGTATCTGAAATATCTGTGTATTTGTCACCTGGGGAAAAAAGCCAGCAATTTAATAATACAGTCAAAAAATTGTTCAAATGTTCATCCATTCATATTCTGTTCCTCCAATTCAGGGTTGCAGGGAAGCCGAAGTTTATCTCAGCAAGCAACGGGCACAAGGCAGGGTACACCCTGGATGGGACACTAGTCCATCACAGGGCAGACACACAGACATGCACACACTCACACTTAGGGCCAATTTTCCCAGAAGCCAATTAACATACCAGTATGTTTTTGAACTATGGGAAGGGACCAGAACATCCTAAGGAAACTCATGCGAACATGGGGAGAACATTCAAACTCTACCGAGACAGCACCCCAGGTCCCCAGCACTGTGAGGTAACTCTGCTACCTACTTGAACACTGTGAAGCCCTAAAATATTCATAATACATATAATTGAAAAAATGATCTCAGATGTGCTCATTGATAGCCCTGTATAAAGCTATACTCTTAAAATTGAAACCATATTTAACTGCAGTTAATACACCAGATTCATGAATATAGAATGCTTACTCCACTGCAAACTGTAGCTTTCTTATTATAAAGCAAACATATTTCGTATTCAAAACCTAGTGCTAAGAAACATGTCTAGAAGCAAAAAATAAACATTTTCCTTTAAAAAAATGCATGCATATTACAAATGATTGTAAAAAACCTTTGGTAAATCAGAACCAATCCACCAGAGTTTAGTTTCCACTGATATAATATTTTTTTGCCTTTCGGCTCATAAAACAAAACACATTTCTCACTGTTGCCACAATGAAAGGGGCTTTGTGTACCTTTGCCTGAAGCCTTCCTCCAATTGTTGATCTCATGTGAAAGACTGAGACGACCACATCCCCCTGAGCACTGATACCTGCTGGAATCACAACCTTCCCCTCCTGGACTCGGTACTCTCTGTGGAATTGCCAGGAAAGGCCCGCGGGAAGTATAGAGCATCAAGGCAAGGCAGTTTTGTAAAATTCATAAGAAAAAAATAAAAGAATAAAAACATAAATCAGTTGTTTTACTTTGCTGGCTCCTGTGCTTGTGCTATTGTTCTGAGAATACTACCGCTATGCCTGTTCTCTTCGTTCTTCACCAAACACGCTGACATCACCGAAACCCAAATGCAGTAAAATACTGCCCAAGCCATTTTGTCCCAGACAGACAATACCATATTCTTTATATTCTGGTGCAGTGTGGAAGTGAAACCTTTTATTCTTTTTTATACACAACTTTAAATCCACGTTTATTTTTAGTGTCCCCACTACATTCAGGCTTGCTAATCTCACCTCTTAATGTTGGGATTTAAAATATCCCTGACTGAATTTATTCGATGCATCATGTCTGGATTAACATTTAGCCTGTCAGGATGTCTCAACACATAGAGATTCTGCTCACCTCATCCTTTCGTAGTCTTGTGCTGTTGAGAAGATCTTAGTTTCCCCAATAAGAATGTCACAGAAAGGTCGACAGCCAGTGTGCTGTTTATTGAAGCAAGGGACAGGACTCAAAGTGACTGATTTTATAACGAGGGGCTTGGAATGTGGCAGTGTGGGCTTCTCCGACACCATGCTGCATATGTAGCCTATGTACCTGGAATGGAAAATAACAGATCACATCAAGCAGTATTTCTATATGGGCCCCTCTGTGGCTCAACCTGTAAAGTTGTTTGCTCAGAGTGCAGGTGGAGCTCTCCAGTCCAGGTACCTTGCAGTTTAAGGCTTGGGTCATGCTGTATATGGTTGGGATTACTTATTTAGGGCCTCTCAAGAGTTACGCACAACAGTGACTCATGCAATTCGATGGAAGCCTGCAGTCTTTTAAAGTCAGTGAGAGATCTGCATTATCCAAAACTAACTCCCCTATCACGTGCTAAATAACAGATGAGTGTGTTAGAGAAGCTTGCCCACTTGTCTCTTTTTCTAATGAGAGGATAGCGCTGTTGTTAATAAGACACTTTCAACTGTTGTGAAAACAATTTCTAAGTCCATTTCAAGCTGACAGTCTGTCATTATTCATTCAGCTTGTTTTCTAAAGTTCCAAAGTTTAAATCCGACAAGGGCCAGGATGAAATTAAAACCCACCAGGCCTGTGTAGTCAGTCAAAAGAAGCAGAAAAGCATCAGCCATTAAACTTACCTATCTGATGTGCATTAACAAATGTGCATTACCTAAATGATCATTTTATGATACTTAACATGTTATATATGGACAATGCAATTTTTATCTTTACTGCAAAGCATGAATAGAAAAACAATACATTTCGTTTTTTTTGTTCCTAAGGAACCAGGCCAGTGCCTCACCTTTTGTGTGATGGCCATAAGCCTGAGCCAGGCCTCTTGGAGTTGAGTAACTGAATGGCAGGAACTGGATGGTTGAAGAGATGACAGAAGCAGAACATTGCACAGACCAGAACACCTGAGGCTGCTCGGCCATCCTTAGACAATAGTGTGGAAAAACAGTTGATCAAGCATATAGTACATGTAAATCTTTGCAGACAACTAAAACATTACTCAGAATGGTTATGAATGAGTCTCCAATGCAGAGCAAATCAAAGTTGGTGATGAAGGTATACAAAATTACACCAGTCATTTTTCTAAAATGTATTTTAATATCATACAATGTTTTATATTTGGTAAATGCAGTGTAAAAAAACAGCTAAACTGCTAATGCCAATTATTATTTATTGTTATTTTATAAAGGCCTTTATAAGGCCTAAAATCTGTAACTGCATACATTTGTCCAGGTGCATGTTATTACACAAAATGCACATTGTGAAGCAACGGTGCAATCCACAATGCATGCATACCCAAAAGATATGGCAGGCAGCAAACAAAGTGAAGAAGGCAAGGTGCCTTAGTTTCTCTTCTTACCATGCAATGAATGACACAGACGTTCTTGGGGTTTTGCTTGAGCCAGTTGTGCATGTTTTTACACACAGCGAACAGGTTGTGTAGACTGGGGGCTTGCCGTGCTGGCCAGTTGCAGTCGGACACCTGGCAAATGTCAAACATGTACGTCCATTGAGATCACCGATATATCTGTAGATCCAAAACATCTACTGTAGGTTTGGTTTGAACAACTTGGCTCCTCTCCCTGACCCTATATTCTAATACTTACACGTGTTAAACAGCTGTCACATATCTTTCATAAAGAGGCCCAAACTAATCATTATGTTACTTTTGGAAAAACTACATAGGATGTAGAAGTTTGAGTAGGGAGCTGGGTCAGCATGCGGAGGCTGCAAAGGAACGGGTAAACATTTATTCCATCCTGAAACGAGGCCTCACAGTTGAAATGTTGTCTCTTTTCTTTTCCTTTCAGCATGGAATAAACCTTTACCTGTTCATTTGCTTATATGTCTGTATAGGTATACAGTCTTACAACACTTACTGTATATTTATTTTTAAAGGCCTTACGCACCCTGTTATGAAACTTGGCAATGCGGTAGACCTTCTGAGACAGGTTGAAGACTGTGTAGTGATCCATGTGCCTGGAGTCTAAGAATGACCGGACATCTTCAATGTGATTCCTGTATCCAATCTCCACAGTTTCAGCCGGGTAAGACATCACTACACAAACAAGGGACACATTCACATTTACTATATGTACAAACACACACCTTTCATGCTGCTGGATTCAGTCTCATTTTAGACCAAACACAACAAACTTACACTTACAGAAAATCAGTTACAATATGTTGTTTTGTGAGTAAAAGCCAACTATAATCCTTTTAATTTTGTATACATAGAAGACAGACACATGCAGTTATTACTAAAAGGGAGTATAGAGAGAGATTTCTCCTCAAGATTCTCCATAACATAAAACCCCATTTTAGATATGTCACCTCTCTTGGGAACTGCCTTTTTCCCCATTTACTACAGTCAAGGTGCAGCAAGCACATTAATGGATCAACACAGTATAGGAACACTATAAACTCAGCATCTGATGTAATCATCACTACAATAATAGTTAAGTTCAAGGATTTCATCACTGCATTGAGTCACTAAATAACACACAGTAAGAGCTGAAAAATGGTCAGCATTTGAAAAGAACACTCTGCAGAAATTAGTTCTCATTTAAAAGACCTGAATGGGAAAACATCTTGCATGTTGCCACTTGTGATTATATCACCCTTGATGCAAGAAACTGTCTTTTATTGACAGGCCTGATGGCTTTCAATCTTGGATAATGAGTACTCATACTGTTGACTTAGCTTTGAACTGAAGCCTAATGGACTGTGTCGGATTTACAATAATATTGTCTGTGAATGAGAAGCACCGTCTTTAACCATAATATCTCCTCAGATGCCACCAGCATTGTAGCAGAGCCTCACAATGAATTAAGATGCACCAGTACAGGTTTGAATGCAATAACAAAAATGCTGTTTCCTTGTGGTAACATCTCTTATCTTGATTTGATGTACTGGCTATTTGAATACTGATAAAAAAAAACCTAGACTGCTTTGCAATACTAAAATAGGATTTAGATACTAAGACCTCTTAGGACAACCTGGTTACTGTAGTAAGTGGTTGTGGACCAGTAGGTGGCAGTGTTCCATCAGGACCAGAATTTCCCAGCCAATACTCTAGTATGATATGCAGGACAACTGTGCCATAGGCAGTGCTGTCTTTCGCATGAGATCATAAATCAAGGTCAAGATGACTCAGTCATTAAGCACCTCATAGCACTGTCCAGAAGAATTGGGGTATCAGCCCCAGCATCCAGATTAAATTCCGTTGTAGACTTCCACACTTTCCACTTATGCCTGCCACTAGACTGGCATCGCATGTGATTCTCTCCCTTCCTTTTGCAGGTTATGGCTGAGCCCGGCCACCAGGTGCTCGCCGGCGAATGCCACCCCCCTGGCCTAGCTCCAGGGGCAGGTCCCGGTAACCCTGTCCCGGGCAGGGTGCATTCGATCCGAGTTTGTCCTGTCATGAGGGCCTTTTTTAGACCGTTCTTTTGTCTGACCTCTCAACTCAGTCATGAACGCCAAGGAAAATCCTACCAGGAGCATAAGGCTCCAGATGACGCATCCCTGGGGTACTGTACACAAGCCCCACCACCACGACAAGGTGGCGATCCATGGGGGAGAGCTAGAATCTGTTGCTGGGGACAGGGAAGTCTGGGCTGATCTACTCGGCTGGCTGCAACCACGACCCTCACCAGGAAAAGCGGAGTGGAAATGGATAGACTTCAACAATCAAATAGGGGTATCAGCCTCCTATTCCTCTGGCTAAATTCCTCTCTTCCAAACAAGCCTACCTAAGATTTGTACCACCAGTCCATTTGGTGAACCAATTTCTCACTTCCCCATCTGAACTGCTGCATAGTGGGGGTGCAGACAGATAGAGACTGCCAAGCATCATCAAGATGGGCTCTGCTCTTCAGAGGGGTGGATAAAGTGTAGGGCTCTCCTGCACATGTAAACCCCGTGGTCCTCTTTGGGATGAAAAGCATTATATACAGTGGTGTGAAAAAGTGTTTGCCCCCTTTCTTATTTTTTTGCCTGTTTGTCACACTGAAATGTTTCAGATCATCAAATAAATTGAAATATTAGACAAAGATAACACAAGTAAACACAAAATGTAGTTTTTAAATAAAGGTTTTTATTATTAAGGGGAAAAAAATCCAAACCTACATGGCTCTGTGTGAAAAAGTGATTGCCCCCTAAACCTAATAACTGGTTGGGCCACCCTTAGCAGCAACAACTGCAATCAAGCGTTTGCGATAACTGGCAATGAGTCTTTTACAGTGCTGTGGAGGAATTTTGGCCCACTCATCTTTGCAGAATTGTTGTAATTCAGCCACATTGGAGGGTTTTTGAGCCTTAACCTCTTTAAGGTCATGCCACAACATCTCAATCGGATTCAGGTCAGGACTTTGACTAGGCCACTCCAAAGTCTTCATTTTGTTTTTTTAAGCCATTCAGAGGTGGACTTGCTGGTGTGTTTTGGATCATTGTCCTGCTGCAGAACCCAAGTGCGCTTCAGCTTGAGGTCACGAACAGATGGCCAGACATTCTCCTTCAGGATTTTTTGGTAGACAGCAGAATTCATGGTTCCATTTGTCACAGGAAGTCTTCCAGGTCCTTAAGCTGCAAAACAGCCCCAGACCATCACACTACCACCACCATATTTTACTGTTGGTATGATGTTCCTTTTCTGAAATGCTGTGTTACTTTTACACCAGATGTAATGGGACACACACCTTCCAAAAAGTTCAACTTTTGTCTCATCAGTCCACAGAGTATTTTCCCAAAAGTCTTTGGGATCATCAAGATGTTTTCTGGCAAAACTGAGACGAGCCTTTATGTTCTTTTTGCTAAGCAGTGGTTTTCGTCTTGGAACTCTGCCCTGCAGGCCATTTTTGCCCAGTCTCTTTCTTATGGTGGTGTCATGAACACTGACCTTAACTGTGGCAAGTGAAGCCTGCAGTTCTTTGGATGTTGTTGTGGGATTTTTTCTGACCTCTTGGATGAGTCATCGCTGCGCTCTTGGGGTAATTTTGGTCGGCTGGCCTGGGAAGGTTCACCACTGTTCCATATTTTTGCCATTTGTGGATAATGGCTCTCGCTGTGGTTCGCTGGAGTCCCAAAGCTTTAGAAATGGCTTTATAACCTTTTCCAGACTGATAAATCTCAATTTCTCTGTTTCTCATTTGTTCCTGAATTTCTTTGAATCACAGCATGATGTCTAAGCTTTTGAGGTCTACTTCACTTTGTCAGGCAGATCCTATTTAAATGATTTCTTGATTGAGAACAGGTGTGGCAACAATCAGGCCTGGGTGTGGCTAGAGAAATTGAACTCAGCTTTCCAAAGATGTGATAAACCACAGTTGATTTATGTTTTAACAGGGGGGCGCAATAACTTTTTCACACAGGGCCATGTAGATTTGGATTTTTTTCCACTTAATAATAAAAACCTTCATTTAAAAACTGCATTTTGTGTTTACTTGTGTTATCTTTGTCTAATATTTCAATTTGTTTGATGATCTGAAACATTTCAGTGTGACAAACATGCAAGAAAATAAGAAATCAGCAAGGGGGCAAACACTTTTTCACACCACTGTAAATTTAATTACTTGATTAAATACAGAACAAAAAGCATGTTTGGACTTTATGACTAATTACAGTACATGTTCAATGCATGCTTATAATTCTACATTAAGTTCTTCAAAAAAGACTAGTGGACTTCTGGATAGGTTCAGTGCAGTGGTAGAAAAAATAAAATATTAAAAAAATAAATAAATAAGGTCCAAATAAATTTGATTTTACATACTTTTGTACATTATTATCTTAATTATTACTGTATATTAAGGGAGCCTTTTACTGGATTCAAAATCAATATCTCCTGCTCATCTGAATAACTAATTTCTTCACTGGGTAAGCTTGAGTTATGTCTACTGCCTTTGAATGAAGACTGCAAGGGTAAGATGGAGCTGAACATTATGCTTGTAACACTTAGAGTTTAGAGTTTGGTCTCAAACTCAAAGACAGATGCATTTAAATATGTCCTACTCATCCACTGTTTTTTAGCAATACTGCACATAGTGACAGTAAATTAAGGAAACCCTGAATGTAACAATTCTTCATTTCATTTTGTTCTTTCACCTGTAGTATACATGAGTTTTACAACCACCATCAGCTGCAACAGAAGCATGAGGATATATGTCTTGACCCAGCCATGGTTATACACATTATAAGTCATGACACACTCAATGTGCCTGTCACATTGCTTTAGTATAGTGTAGGGGCAGGTATTCCAATAAACTCAAAAATAATTTGTAAAAATAAAAAATACATTACTTACCTATAATGCGTGAAGTAATGTAGGAAATGTCAAGTTCCCCTTTTGTATAACTGAAATTCAGACAAGCAGATATTTTTCATATTAACAAAAAGAAGTACACACATTTCACACTGCCATTCTTTGTTATCTGCAGTAGAATATATAGCAGAATAAGCCACAGAATAAGACAGAAATGAGATGAACGTCTCGCTTTGGACTGAGAAGTCATTTGCACTTTGTTCTGGAACAGACAATCCATTCCAATAAGCTGTTAAGATTTGTTAAGAGTGTGTCCCAGGTAAACCACATAAGAAGATAATTGAAAGGAACTGTACTACTTGAATGTCTGTTCACTGGAATAAAATACGAATATATGATATTATCAGGCTTAGACACTTTGAGTAAAAGAACAGTCACATTTCATTTAGTCAAAATGAAACTTTTTTAAATTATTTGTTGTACATAATGTATAATGTAATAATGTTGCTTTATTAGCCCTATACAATTTCTTGCATTAGGAATTCATCTTTTCACATGCCCCAGCTTGCTCTCCATGAGACACAGACAGGGAGAGAAGCTTGGGGTCAGAGCACAGGGTCAGCCTTTGTACAACACCCCTGGAGCAGTTAGGGTTAAGGGTCTTGCTCAACAGAGTAGGATTCCTCTGCCAACTGCGGGATTTGAACCGGCAACCTTCCAGTCACAGGCACCAATCCTTAACCACAGAGCCACACTATGATGTATTACATTTGATTGTATAAAGAAAATCTATCACATAATTTCATGACCTCCTGATGTCACAATCCACTTTATCTCGAAATCAGTGAGATCAAATCAACACAAGATTTTAAGGCACTTGTCATTGTATATCCGATTGTGAGTTATTGGATGCAACATAGTCAATGTCATATCTACTGTACATATGTACTATATGTGCTTTGCTCTGTATACAGTATGTAAACAGCTTCCTCCTATGATTTATTTGCATGTTCAGCTCAGTGTTATGCAGCATTCCAAAGGGAACTATCCTGCTGAAGTATCCAAAACCTTACATATTAAAATGGAAACACAAAATGCAAACAGGGATGCATCTTACAAGAAGGCAAGTTTACATGAGTGTGAACACCAGTGACTTATCCCTCCCCATGTCGTGTACACAGAAAACATGCAGGATCCATAAAGTAAATCATAATTGCAAGCTCAACTTTCAGACTATTGCATTGACTAAAGCTACTGTATTGAATAAAAGCATAGAAATACTGTATACAAGACCCCGGCACACAGTTAGCAACAAAATCCCAGCCAACTAAACACTTACATTTCCTGAAAGTGAAAACTTTAGAAGCTCTCTGGGGGTGGGAGGAGGTAGTAACGGGAAAAATTAAAGAGCCTTTCTTCAAAGTTCAGGATAGTTTTGAGCTTTAGCCACAACACTAAATGTCCTCTTTCTGCCGTCTTATTTTACTCTGTGAACCTTCTGCTGTTCGAACGGGTGGATTTATTAAGCATTCTTAAATCCTTGCTTTCAAAGTGGAAAAACAAAGCAAAAATGTGATAAATCACTGCACTGAAGCAAACCAAGTACGTCTGGTCCTTGGCACACACCAACAACAAAAAACTCTCTATTATTGCATAAAAATCAAACAACTTTAGAAACAACCTTTCTCTTGACTTTTTATGCATGCATAAATATTACAATACTGTATGTTTTCATATTTAGATTTATTATGCATTAGACTCTGGAGTAGCACTGTTAACTAATTGCCAAATCAGCAAAATTGAATATTTGAGGAGGGTAACATGACCACAAAAAACAGGCATCTGAGGATCAACTGTTATCTACAGCTGTAGAGTTATACAATGGATGTCATACGAGGCTTAAACAATTAAAGACATGTCTCATGGAAATATAAAATGGCGATAAACCCTGTGTTATAAGATATTCTATAGACAAAGATTTTTTTCCTCTTACTCTGAGACAACATATTATTTAAACAATATTATGTAATCATGATACAAATAAGCTACTTTTCAACAAGGGAGGAAGGAAAGACATCATCTATTAGAAAGCTCAATAATGTTAATAATACATGAACAAGAGTCTATCTGCACATGAACTCCTTGCACTTTCCACAGCCAAATTCCTGCACTGCCAGAGGAATCCTTAGAATGGTGGTCGAGACAAGGCAGATAGCTCTAAAATGATGTCCTCAGAAGGACTACCACTGTCAAGCAACACAGATCCCCTTTGTGAGGCACTTAAGGTCAGCAGCTTCTCAGAGAGAGGTACTGCCAGACACTGGCAGTAGCAACAACAATAGTGAACCATGGCGGATCCACTATCACTCCAATCTCCACTGATTCTTTTTCATCTTTCCTTTAGCCTTGCTTGCTTGCTTGCTTGCTTTCTTTCTTTCTTTTAAGCTTTCTTCCTCCACCTAGCTTGCAGGTTGAAAAAAAAGATAATCAAGTGAAAACTGCCACCTCAAAATTCTGATCTTGTTGGTCATTTCATGACGAAATGTGCTTTGCACTGAGGAGTCCTTCCTCGCCTGTGTTTCAAGTGGCTAGTACATATGACACATTAATGACAGAAAATCAGATGCCTCCTTCACTATTTGTAGGGTTCTCAATTTTTGGTCATTTTAAATCACGACATATCCCTTGAAATGCTCTATATTCTATGACGTAAATACTCAACAGTGGAAAACCCACAGGGAAACATTCTAACACACTTCTAAGTCAACTCAATGGTTATTGATTCCCCTTACAATTTACTTCTTATTTACTTGCTTCTACACTTCAGATATGCAAATGTAGACAAATACATATTATGTTTATAGACTTTTTTCATTGCTCTTATGAACAAACATGCTGGTGGCTGAAATAAACAAAATCTATCTTTCAGACTAGAGCTGCTATTCTTTTCACAGTAATATCCAAATCTACGAGCCCATTTCATTTCTTTTTCAAACAGCAAAAGAAAATGTCAGCGGGTTTTCAGGCTGGTAATGTGTGTACTGTTGCTTTGCCCACTGTGAAAATACTAAAAAAAGTTTAAATCAGTATAATTTAAGATGTATTTTAATCAATTTTGCACATGCCTTCCATATGGATTTTAAATTTTCAAGCATAATTTTCATTTTCAATAATCAAGCATGGTAAATGTGTTTTACCATCACTTAAAAGTATTTCTTGTTTTTTAAACTGACTGATCAATTTGAGTAGGGAACCATCATCAGGAATTAATATGCAAATATAGCCTTAGCAAAAAGAATTTACTTCAATTCAAATAAGAATATTACTGAATTGAAATTGGCACCCACCATATATATTTTCAGTTGTTGTTTTTTTTTTTACTTTGACAAATTAAAAGGCTCAAATCACATTCTAAAAACTGTCATTTTTCTAATTTGTACCCAATTTCTTATTGGATTATTGTGTAAAATAATCAAGCCACTTTCACTGCCAACCACAAGATAATGGAAGTGGCTTGTGCGGTTAATACACCAAGAGATTCAACAGATGAAAGAAATTCAAGAAGATGCAAGCAGTACATAAAAGCCTTGTGACTTACTTTGCTACAGAATGCATCACCTTGGAAGAGGTGTCCTTCAGGGTGTCTTTGAGGTTGTCCTTGAGGTTGCTGAACAGCCTTCCTGCCCCTCCCTTCACCATATCCAGCAGCCCACCTCCATAGCTGGCCTCCATATCTGGAGATGAAGCACCTTTAAGTGACCAGATTTGACGTCTTACAAACACACACAGCACGCACTCTGACAAAGATAAACAAGCCTAAGTAATATTGGGACGCTTCTGCCTGCTTTAAGGTATTAATGTACAAGAAGACGTTTAAGAAGCATTGTTCATCTAATGAATTATGAATCTTATGAGATGAAATCAGGACCGTGACTCAGTCTGTCTGTAGGATTCCTGCGCGGCATGGCAGAACATGTGTGCTGTAGTCTGGATATCTCTTGATAAGGTACGTCATCGTCTTCACACTTACACCAGCATGTTTTTTTTTCTCCTACTGCTAAATTTTCAGAAAATGGAAAGCGTTTGGAAAAGGTCAAATTTTATCAAGTGGTGTGGCTTGTGTGTGGAATAAAAAAAGATCTGGCTGGACCCAATATCAAATGTAAATAGACTGCCTATCACATCTTGATATACTGTATTTTAAAAAGCAGGCACTGAAGGATTACTTAAGCATTTTAGTTATGTTTCAGCAAGGGTCCAAATCTGAAATTTCAAACTAAAAGCAATCTAGGGTAAAAAAATAAATGATCATGTCAGATGCCCTTACATTTTGACAAGTCCTCCATCTCCTCACTCTACAAGTTACACAGGGTAACTTAAAGAAGACTGCACTAGGGGATCCTTTAATGTCTCTGATAATATTTCTTGTAAATATACTCTGTTTACATCTACAGTACCTCTTTTCACCTTTAAGATGTTGAAATAACCACCATATACAACAAGAAACTTCTACTGGTTTTTATTCTACATTTTCAAGCTTACAAAATGGAATTCAAGTGACCCAATGGAAGAGGGCCCGATTATCTTTTTGATTATGCTTATTGATAAATGTCACTGTAGTTTGAAAGTGATGTCTTTTGAAACTATGTACTAAACCTGCAGGTAGCCTTGTAATAACCACTTTAAAAGCATGCCCAAGCGTTACTTGAAATTAGTCTGTGTAGTTCTCAGTGGTAATATGGTAATTGTCTCAACAGATTAAAGGTGGGTTTCTGCATTGTGAAATGCTGTTGTTTAGGAAACCTTTATTTGAGATAATCTCTTGGCACTGTCTTATCTGCAGAACAGTAGACTCTCATGTTGTTTACATGTGAAAGGAGTTCAAGTGTTATTGAAACAAACATTTGGGTATGCGACTGAAGAGACATTTCTATATGAAGATTACGCATAGACATGTGAACAGTAACTTCACAGGATGTATGTGTGGAGTGTGGAAATAACCAGTTCTACCAAAGACCTAAAACTCAGAACAAAGAGAGTTATAAGTGTACGTAAAATAGTAACTCAGAAAATCCAATTCATCAGCTTTTAATGTGATACCCCTAAACCTACCATATACTGTAGGCCATTATAGAGAACATTTCTCCTTTGTTCTTATGCTGATGTATTCCACATTTAAATGAGCATACCATAGTTCACTATCTCTTGGATTTCCTTTCCAAATTTGGAAAAGCCGGGCTTTAGTTCAGCAACAATTTCCTTTGAACAATTATCTGCAAACCTCAAACAGCTGAGTAATTATAATTCACAGGGTTATTTTACAAATCCTTACTAGGGTTCTATACTCTTATCACTGCCATAGTGACACATGCAGTGCTCCTAAAAATTACATGAAGGCACACACTGCATTTAATTTATGGATACAGCTTCAGGAAACAAAATAGCCCATAAGACTTCCCTCATTAAGTTATTAAGTTTCCAAAAAAGATGCTAGGGACAAAGGTTACTACACTATAGAAATGCTATGAGTGTTAGCAGAGTGGATCAGCTTCAGGCTCTTAACTCATAGGATTTTGGTTAAGGCCCCTGCTGCGAATACTCCTGCTACCCCATTTGCTCCAGTCCAGCCAGCTATATGAATGGGGAGTAGCTTTGCTAGGTGATAGGCTCTGTGAGATCAGTGTCCCATCCAGGGGGTGTCTTTCTAGTAACTCATTGCTCCTGAAACCAGCATGAGTTCTGACTTGTCTGGTCTGGTCTTCACTTTTTAATATTAATAATATTTCATTTCCTAAATATCTTGTGTACTATAGTTTTCAAAATTGTCAGCGTGGTTAACAATATTCCTGCTTTCAAAGAAACCCAATATATTTTCAGACTTAAAAAATAGCACATTTTAGTGTACAAATTGCAGCTGTTGCTTCTGCATTTTATACCTAAATTGGTAACCAAAATAATGGGAATATTATGCAGAACATCTTTTCAAAGTAAACATAACACCACACATATCATACCAGACATGCATTAAAATGGTATTATAAATATACAGATACTGACCAATTAAAAAGAGCAATAATCTAAATGAATTTCCAGAAGCTAAAAATATGAAATCGTTCATGCAGCTGTAACTGTTTTTGAACACCTGTATGCTGAGATTCATCAACAACAAAGGTTAAGCGGTACAACACAAACAAAACAGTGATGCAAAACGTGCTGAACTGGACAAAGAGCCTGTGTCACAAACGCTTTTCTGCTGATGGTCTGCACCTACACACGTTCTGTCTGTGCAAAAACTATTTGACTTGAAATGTTAATTGTTTAACTGCTGAAAGCCCCAAAGCTGTGTTCTACCCCTGAAAGGATAATGACTCTAAACAGTAAGATGATGTGGCCCATAAAGGAGAGGCCTACTGTACTGTATGTAATGAGCTTAACTGATACTATCCTATCACTGAAAGCTCGGTGATTGCATTATGATTTCACAGGGGCTGAGTCCCAGAGGCCTCCTCATTTTTCAGTGCACTGCAGCGAACCTCCCACTGAACAACTGTCTATATTCGTGGCATTCGGTTTTCGGTGATTTTTGTCTGAAACAGGGATGGGATCTTCCACCTGCCCCAGCGATCAAAATGCAATCGAAGTGAAACACCAACAGCTGACGTAAACCAGACCTGACGTATTTTTGCGGTTTAGCGAGCCTGAAAGGCAGACTGTGGACATTCGTAAAAAAATACTGACTTTATATTATATATTCACGCTGCACCGATCATCTGCAGTATTCTAACACGGCATTCATAAAAGGATTTTAAAAATTCTGCGATGCAGACATTCTATACAGCCACAACAATACAAAAAATAGTTTCAATACGGTTTTATTACTCATGTACATTTCACTTACGATCTCAATCGGGTGTAAAAGACAGTAGCTTCTAATCTAGAAGTATACAGATACAAAGTGGTCCCTCACCAACATTACTTCATTGCTATTATACACTATGCTCCAACTTCAGCAGCGTAGCATATTTCAGCATGACAAATTGGACGCTGTGATCTCAATAAAATTTGCATAGCAGGGTTTATAATGGGGAAATAACGACGCAAAACACCTGATCACTTAAAGAAGGAAAGCGAAATACAACCTCGGGGAAATCGGTGCAAATACTAAATAACAAGTATCAAGTTATTATAAAAATATTAATCGGTTCCAAATGTACCACAAAAACGCAGCAACACCCGTGCACATTTCAGCATTCAAGGCAGTGGTGTAGCGTTACGCCCAGACACAAACGAGAAGCATACAGTACGTCTTCTTGTCGGAGTCTTTACCTGAGCTGTCCATGGTGCTGTAGTCCTCCTGTCTGCCTGCAAGATTCACTTTGACTGATGAGCTCCCACCGTGTGTGCTGCCGGTTGTCTCCCCGTTACTGAAGTCTGCGCTGCTGTCGACCAACTGCAAAGATTCATACCCATCGTAACTAGTCTTTTTCTTGTAGCCACCTAGCAGGCTCATGAGCACACCACCAAATTATGCAAATTACATGTAAAAGAAATAAAGACGATGCACATATCCCTGGCCAGAACACTGTATTTTTTTTCTTAAGCCTGGTTGCTCAGTCTCCTCTTTCCTTCTGCCAGTGAAAAAGCCTGTCATCAGGACTGCATTTACTACACAGCACATTCGAGCCTCTTGCTCTCCCTGCTGAGTTAATGGGTCCTTTCGGGGCTTTCCTTTCCTGGCTCTAGGCCAATCCTGAAAATGCATGTAAGCAAGAGGTGTCCAAGGATTGCCTGTTCTAAGATTTACAGTTATTGAATAACTTGCATATTTATGTTACTATTAAAATATTTACTCTTTAATTTGTTTATGTCCAGGCCTTTGACTTCTTAGTCACCTTAGTGCTCTTAAGCTATAGTTTTGTACTTCCATCCAGTGTATATCCTGCCTTACTTCCAAAATCAAGTTCCAAACCTTCAAGTCTTGAATTCTTGAATGCACTCTTCAATTGCAATATTGTAATCTTGCAGAGCCAAATGCACAGAATTACATGATTGGCCAATGACATTGTAATGATGATCATTTTATGTAGCAATAACCACTTTAACAATAGCAGTTACTAACATTAACCATTTCTGAATAACTCAAAATCAATTCATGTTTTTTTAATCTGCATACATAAAAATGTTTGAGAATGTTCACCGATGTCCTTCAAAACAGCTATGTTTAATAAAGGTAAATGTTTTCTTATTCAACATCTTGTTGATGTTAACCCTAACCCTATTCAACTAAGGTTGCTGCTGGAAGAGGTGTTAGTGGGGCCAGCAGGGGGCGCTCACCCTGCGGCTCATGTGGGTCCTAATGCCCCAGTGTGGTCTTTAACAATCCCAGGGTGTTTCTCGAAAAGAGTAGGGGTGTACCCCGGCGTCCTGGCCAAATTTCCCATTGCTCTTTATCAATCATGGCCTCCTAACAATCCCCCTCTATAAACTGGCTCCATTATCTGCTCTCCACCCCACTGATCGCTGATGTGTGGTGAGCGTTCTGGCGCACTATGGCTGCCAACGCATCATCCAGGTGGATACTGCACATTGGTGGTGGTGGAGGGGAGTCCCCATTACCTGTAAAGCGATTTGAGTGTCCAGAAAAGCGCTATATAAGTGTAAGCAATTATTATTATCTAAATTAGTATTACCCACATCTTACCTCAGAGTGAGTAAGAAGAACACAAAGGGGTAGTGGTGGCTCTGTGGCTAAGGATCTGCACTTATAATAATAATAATTGCTTACACTTATATAGCGCCTTTCTGGATACTCCACTCAAAGCGCTTTACGGGTAATGGGGACTCCCCTCCACCACTACCAATGGCAGTTACACTTGTTGCTGGAAGGTTGCAGGTTCAAATCCTGCAGTTGGCAGAGAAATCCTACTCTGCTGGGAGTAGCACGGCCCTTAACCCCAACTGCTCCAGGAGTGCCATATAAATAGCTGACCCTGTGGTCTGACCCCAAGCTGCTCTCTTCCTACCTGTGTGTCTCCTGGAGAGCAAGCTGGGGTATGCAAATAGTAATGCAAGAAATTGGATATGGCTAATAAAGTGATCTTATCTATAAAATTATAAAATCTGTTTTTTAACACTTTAGCTTTGTAACTGCCAATATAAAATTGTCTTATGCTGCCTGATGTTTCACAATCTATAAATATATATTTATTTTGTTAATCATTCCAATAGGTCTAAAAAAGATCAATCAAATGTGATATAATTAAAAAGATCTGAATTATATTTCACATTTACCCATTTTTAGATTTGTAAATTCTGTCTCACAAGCAAAATATTTTGGTCTTATACAGTGCATAATAAATACAAACAGTAACCTAAATCCTGCTTTTGAAAAAGACATATCTGCATATCAATGCAAGGCGAAGCTAGTTTCTTAGCTTTCTGCAGCTAATTGCCTAAGGGCAGTGTTTGAATTACTGCTTGTTTTTGTAACTATGAGTTTGATCTGTGATGTTCAGTCCACGTGGTTACTTTTTGAAGCAGTCCTATTAGTTTCAGCATCTATACCTGCGGGTGTTCCATTTTTACAAATTGACGGACTGTTTGTAAGTGACTTCAAATTGTTTTATGCGCAAATACTAAAGATACGGTCAGATACAGCCCCAATCATCTGTCAATTTAAGTTTTCTAAAAATCTCAAACATCTTTCACAAATAGTACACTTCTTCCATCCATCCATTTTTTAACTGCTTCTGCAAATACAGGCTAAATAATATATAGCTGAAGATATACATCTGAAGTACATTAATCAGCACTGTGCTACTGCATATAGTGTCTCATCAGTACATCACTACACCCAGTTTGGTTTGCTGCTAATTAGGGAAAAGGGTCCATCATAAAGAAGATTTATGTCTTAATTCAGCTTCTTGGCTTTCAATACTATGTTTCCTTTGTAGATTGAATTTCCCGGCAACTATATTTGCATCTTAGTTTCTCACAGGCTGAAAATGATTGAGAAACGATTTTCTATAACTCAGTCAATTCATCAAAAGCCATATTCCATTTAAGATGTAGAAAGAGAATGCAGGTTTAAAAACCAACATAAAGAGCATGAAGGAACACTTCGAGAAACGTCTGTCCAAGGACATTTGAAAAAGGAAATGAAAGGATTGGAAACACATATTGAAAAAAATACTAGAACATTTATCCTTTTGTTATGAATCTATATTTGCTCAAAACTGTGCAAAAAAACATATATATCCCCCAACAAATAGCTTTCTCCTCTTCTTTCTCCGCTTATTCTCAACACCAGCTAGTTAAAAGATAAACTTTATGGGAGGCAAGGTCCATTTCAAGTAGTCATTTATCTACCCATTAACTCACCTCAGAGGACTTATGGAATCATTTTTAGATTAAAATAATTTTCAGTCTGACATTCAAAGAAAAGAATGAGAATCAATCAATTTAGCTGTTAGCGTCTTGTTAGAAATATATCCCACTGCATCTAATGTATTTTCTGTTGATTTCTATATTATTAGTGACACATTATTTTTCATATTCAAATATTTAAAGCAAGGCAATAGTAGACATGAATCAAGATTTACGCACTAACAGAGAGTAAAAAACATGAACTTGCTGCAGTAACAAAAATGCTGTATTTGGCAGATATGACATTTGAGACAATTTTGTTAATAAAGGCCTGCCCTGCAACTGCTTAATGTTTCACAGTTTTTATAGAGACAAGGTAAACACTTTCTGTGCTGTTTTCTAATGTACTAAAAAACTACCAGTTAATGTGTAAAACAGATATAATAAAAGATTTTCTGACATATAAAAGTGAAATTGAGATTATATTGACATTATACAGTACAATGTCATTACCTCAACTGTACCTCAACACTCATTAAGAACAGCAAATGAAGGTCATGTTTTTATAGATATCGTGTGCTTTTTAAAAAAATTAAAAGAACATTATGTATATGTAAAATACACTGAGATTGAATATTAAAAAATCTGATTTTTTTCATTCAGAAATAAATCTTACTATTTTAAAACAAGAAATCCTATATCCTCATCATTAAAAATGTAAGTCTCACATGACATACTATGGAATGCAGTTGTACTTTTATATAACTGACTCCAAAGTGACATATGATTACTTTCTCTGCAATTGTGCCATTGTGTGACTCTTATGGCCTATATATAAAACTAACGTTAAATCATACAGTACTGACAAATTGAAACATCTAATCTCTCTAACAAGAATTGTCAAATGTTGCATATTTTGGAAGATGTTGGAAGGAATTCTTTTTTAGCCTCTAGGGAGGTGTGTCTGAACAAATGTGCCCTAACTGTGCCCCAGCTGAGTTTGAAATGCAAATATCATACAGTACACAAGCATTCAAACCAGTTTCATGTTACTGTTCTCATTGCAAGCAGTTCTGCATGAGTCAGGCCTTTGGCATCCAACAGGAACAATGACAAAGAGAATGACAACTATCCTCAACCAAGACACTACAGCATTCAAGGAAATACAGTTTATTACATATTCAAAAACTAGACAAAACCAACCAGTATATATTAAACAACTCAGGCTATTTTATCCCACCCTTTCAGATAAAAAAGAGCATAAATGAGACACTAAGAATATAACTTAATAGTTCAAGTATGGAAGACACTCTTTGTGGTTGTTAATGGTACAACGCAATAACACTAACAGCTCTGCTCTTCATTTAGCATGTTAGTAAAAGATGCATTAAAAAATCTGGTATGAAATTTAATCATACTTGATCCATCTTTCACAGCATAGGTGGACAGAAGCTACCACTTACTGCTGCTATACAATTCAGCATTAATTTCATAAGACCATTCTCAGCATAGCTACAGATAGATTCAGAGTTGATCAAACTGGTTAAGAACATAAGAATGGTTACAAATCAGAGGAGACTGTATGACCCATCTACTTGTAGCTAAAACAGGGTATCAACTTCAACAACATGGCTGGATGGCTAGTACCACATTCCCACAATGTTTTTGGTATAGAAGTGTCTCCTGCCCTTAATTTTAAATGCACTTCCATGTACAGTAGTTTCCACTTGTGTCCTCTAGTTCACTTTAAATGACTTATTCTAAAGAAGTTCACTGGGTTGTAAATACATCAAATGCATCAAATGTTAAAGTTTTATCTGTTGATATCCCTTTAATTATTTCAATAAGATGATCTTTGATTATTCAAGTTGTGCGGACGTTTTAAAAAGAAACATGCTAAATCCTGTTCTTCAGTTATGCAGATGACATCACACTCCATGAGATGTAGTTTTTCAGACACTGGCTAGTTTGTAACTGAGTTTAAACATGTATAATTACTACTTTAAAATGGTCTTACTCTTATCATGGTAGTATTCGTTTTAACATACAAATGTAAATAAATCATTATTTTTTGGTTTTGGTTTGTCAGTTCTGGTGCAGTGGTCCAAGTAATGATTCTTTGAAAAACATGTTAATTGGCTGTTAATAGTTTCAGATACACAGATGTAGTGAAATACAATAAAATAGTATAAAATACAAATAGTGATGTTCAATAGAGCTGAACAGTAAATCAACTTCCTTCACACTGAAAGCAGAGGCTGTTCTCTGTTTAGTAAGAGTAAAGGTACAATAATCATTGAGTAATTCAAGGATTGTCCATTGGACACACTCCTTAAATATAAGAACATCATGCAGGTATCACTGGAAAGGTTCAACATTCTCAATGAGTCACTAAATCTGACTTTCTTCAGTGGGTAAGGGGTATACAGTTATTGGTACAGGTTACTAGAAAATACAACTCAATTTCACAGCCTTAATCACTGGTTATCTTGCCTGAGGCTTTTCTTTTCATTTCTCTTCAGTTTTGGAGCACGGTTTTGGCCTGCATCAACACAGTTGTGAAATCAGTAGTCTCCATCTTTCAGGAGGCAGCGGCAAAGGCACGTAAGGGAAACCAGGGAAACTGGAGTTTAACTGAAACTCTTTGGCAACCCAGCTTGCATCTCTCAAGGGCGAAGAGGAATTCTCAATATGCATTCACTTGGTTCTAGCTATTAAAACCGTAAAACTTCGGAAACCGAAAGCGGAGTTTAATACAAAATGTTACTATATTTCTTATAATGAACCTCACGAATGAAATGGAAGTTCACGGATGTGATACAGTACGTTGGCGTCACACTGGGCATTCCTTTTCCTGACGCTCAGATTTAAATACATAATTTTCATCGAACTTAAATCGTCAATATTTTCCAATCAGTAAACAAAAATACATGTACTCAGTAATCCCTAATATTCCTAGTACTTTCGGAGCACTGTTGGAATCTGGTATTAAAAAAAATCACATTTAAATATTCCAATATTATACTGAATTCTGAAACTGAAATTGATATTGAACAGATGTAATGCAGACATGTAAAACTGAATGCTTCCGAATATAATATATAGTTAACACTGCTTGAGATATTAAAACAACATTTTTAGAGGAGCACCGTTTTCTAATCTCAGCGAAAGGCCTTGTCATCAAAAATAACATCTTTAAGACCAATGTATAGCCGCCTGTTCTCCTGTAAACAAAATCACCATGCAATATGGTACTTAGATCACGTTTTTCATAACACCAACAGAAGAAAACACTTTAAAATTAAATATGTACCTGCAATACGAGCACCCCGAGCAAATTCAGTTTTATTTATATCAAATATTTAATGCAATATGATAAACACGTCGCCGTTAACAAAAAAGTGGCGTTATAAATTATACAATACTTACAGACCTCTACTGGGACCTGAAATTTAGCGTTATCATTCTAGTTGCCAAATCGGTAGCACTGAATAGCCCAAGCACCTACAGTATTTTTACTCTAGCATTCCAAGAAGGATTTCCCGGTACCATACCTCTCTGAGCAGTTTCTTTCATTCTCCTCTTATTTGAAGTCTTCAGATGCGGAACCCCAGCTGATTTGAGAAGTGCTGACCTTTGATTTGTCATTCACAGCCAGTCAAAGGTCATAGAGGTAAATGTACCATCAATCCCTGGTATTGGTGCATGGTAATTATGGTCTTTTGCGTACAGGATGACTGCTGGATTATGGAGCATCACACTGTAAAATCACGACTTCTTCAGGCAAGCTCTAAACATATGGTGAAAAACATGGGGTGGATTCTTAAGTGGCGGACTGGAAGTCCGGTCCTGCTGTGTGATCATTGTTGTCTTAACGGAAGAAAACAACACATTTTGTAGCTGTAACTGATCGTAAAAGCCATTCTGCATGAATCCAGATGATTTCTTAACGGATGTTTATATAATTAAAAGACAGGCAATGAAGCTGTATCAACGAACAGCTTCAGCGATCCTTGATACATCTCACGATTTGCTGTAAATCTCAGTCAAGCAGTGATGTATTTCAGAGATTTGAACGGTACAGAAACTGGCCTACGGACGACTGCACACGCAACAGTATTATGGATATAATATTTTAAAAACATTTTATTTATATCATAAATCCCTAAATTGTGTGTTATACGATCTTCCAGTCGTATTTCTTAGAATGTCCAGGAGCAACCAGTTTTAGAGATTATAAACACAAACATGGAATTTCATGCCAATGTCAATAAAATTGATTGCACAAGGCATCACATATTTTGAGAAAATAATTTATTTTATTTTTTTTTACAGAAATGAATCAGAAAGCTCCCATCACACTGTAAAGAAAGACCATACTACAGATTACAGTATTGCACAGTATAATCAGCTCATGTGCCAGTACACTTAAGAAATATATTTAAAGCCGGTCATCATACTCCTCCTTTGAATACCATTTTATTACAGACCATCTCTAATGTCCAACTAACCTATTAAGTTACAAGTAAAGTGCTATTCTTGTAATATATTTAACATTGATGTTTGCTGTTGGCTTCAAAATATGTTTCAAATAAAATTATTCCATCACTTACAGTAAATTACTGATGTGGTCTTTGTGCGTATGTGTCAGGGCAGAATGATGAAGCAGAGATGGGTAATTCCAGACCTTGTGGTTTGTAGTACTGCAGGTTTGCTGGTACTTTCCAAATAGCAAATTGTTAAGACTTTAAAAAACTGGTAGATCGATTTCTCATCTAATTACTTCATTTTTGTGACTTGGGACTATAAGTGCTATAAGAGGTGATGTCCTTCAGATGTTGTGCAGTGGTGCTGCTAGTACACATTACAGATATACTGATGGCACGCCTGTGGTGGATGAGGTATGGAAAGCAATTATGGATGGCGAATGTTTCATAAATGCAATTCTAATTTAATAATAATTGTTATTTCTTAGTATTCTTGTGATGATGATGAAGATGTTGATGGTGATGATGGGCAGCACATTGCCACAGTGGTTAGCAGTGGCTGGAGCCCTGGTTTCCAAACCTGAGGTGCTGTCCGTGTGGAGTTTGTATGCTCTCCCCATGTTTGCATGGCTTTCCTCTAGATGCTCTAATTTCCTCCCACAGTCCAAAGACATAGTGGTAGGTGAACTGGCTTCTGGGAAACTAGACTGTGCTGTGAGTGTGTGCTTGTCTGTCTCTGCCCTGCGATGTGCTGGCATCCTGTCTAGCATGTATCCTGCCTTGTACCTGTTGGTTGCTCGGATAGAGTCCCCTAAGATGCTGAATTTGGATTAAGTGGTTAGAAAATGTATTATTATTATTACTATTATTATTAATCAGAAGTAGGATAAAAACCAGAGGATTCTGCAGCCCTTAAGATCTGGAGATGCCCATCCCTGAGTAAGTGACGAAGCAGCAGCAGGTGCATTTGGGTGTTTTGCATGGAGGCTGACAAATATAAGGGCTTTGTCCCAAACATGCTTCCCCACAAGAAAGCAATATATCACACAAATCTCTGGCTGCCATATGATTTAATGACCAATCCCAGCAGGAAAGTTCTTGTACACAATCTGCAGTGGGATTCCTCCTCTTATTTCTATAGCAATAGGAAGGCAGACTATTGCTCCATTCTGTAAACATTTCAGTGTTCATGGTTGAGCATTTAGCTTTTCCCACTAGTAGTCTTGGGAAATAAGTAATTAGTGCGCTAGGATAATAAGATGGCATCAACCTGATCAGCTGTTATGCTACATTATGGGGTTTATGGTATCTCTACTGACGAATTTTAAAATTCTAATATTAATATTTTCTTCTATTAAAAATTCCGTATATTTGTATTTGTATAATAGAATTTATATTCTAATACAGAATCCATATTTTGCACTGCAAACGCTGCAAAAGAACATTACAAATATAACAAGCGTTCTAACTGGTATATTTTTTCAACTAAACTTGCTGCAAACTGACCCCATAATTGAGATTTCATTTAAACTTAATTGAATAGAAATTATAACTTGGTTTAAAGAACTACTTCAACTTTACACTTGGTTTAAATCATGATCACCTAACTGCAATTAAAATGCACTAATCTTTCATCCCTCTTACTTGCCTTAGAAGTAATGCAAGAATTTGCAATGCTGTAGTAGATGAATCATTCATTGCAATCACATATCTGTTAGCACCTATTTAATTTCATGACAGAGCTGGAAAAACTGATATTACAAGCTACAAAAGAAGACTATATTTGCCACTTAAGACACCCTTAAAAAAGCAATATTTGTTTTAAAAATACCTGTACCTCAAAAATTAAACAATTTTTCAACCCAATGAATACAGTATGTTTTATGTATTTTCCCAAATAAATGTATATGGATTATTCATTTGACCTTTTAACTGCATCATGTTGGTTCTTATCCTTTTTTGTGTATTTTCACTAGGAGCTCCAGAAAAGCATATGAATAACTGAGAATAATGGGAATACATATAGATATAACATTTTTTCTTTTGACAAATTTGCTGTTAAATATATAAGCATTTGTTATTGTATCCAGGATAAACATCCAGCATTTGCTTAACTTTCATTGTAATAGCAGTGTAGCTTTCTCTTTTGATTAGGCTGGTTTCCCCTTTAAATCATTAAATACCTTCTTATAACTATAACTACATTTTAACAGCAACTTTGATTCTTAATGGTAAAAGTTTGAAAGGAGTATAATAGAAAATATTTCTCTGTAAAGAGGTCTCTAAAATATGCTATTGTCCTCTAATAGGAGCCACTGATATTAAGTTTAGATGATACATTTATGGGATGGGAAGATTAATACACATACTAGTGTAATTTATGGGATTATTATAAAGAACTCTTTTTTCAGGTCACTATGACTAAAGCACTTCCACTATGATTAAGATAGCAGAGAGGCAACTTGATCTTCAGGGACACTAACATTGACAGACTAAGATAACAGAAAGTACGTTATTCTCTTCAGATCCTAAATTCATAGTAATGATATACAGCAACTATCTTGAAGAAAAAATAAAGCTGACTTGTTTATGAACAAAGACTGCAATTAACCAAAACAAACAGACTTGTTGCAATAAACTAAATAGGGAAACACTGTGTGCTGTCGATTAAACTCACCTTTTTAAGCAGATGGCTGCTGAACAGAAGCACATCAAGGCCAAGTAAAATGGCCTAGACTGAGTTCAACCTGGCTCCGTTTGGTGATAAGTTCTGTCTGGTGTGTTCAGTATTAACCCATTGATTTCCAGTCCCTCATACCCAGTTGTGAGTTCCATTCCTGCAGTCAGTGAATCTGGTATTGCAAATTAAGAAAGAGACCTGAGAGGAAAACAGAACTAAAAGGCTCAAAGTACAGACTCAGAATGTACTGAACAGAATGTACAGATTTTTGGATCTCCATCGTTCTCAAAGACCTACGAGCTTTGGGTGCAGTACAGCTTATAGCATGCAAATTACAAAAATATTTCTGTAAAATATGTATTATAAAAAATACTACAAAGCATTACAGTGGCAGGTAAAGGGCAATTTTAAGTGTTAAATCTTCTTTTACATACATGTTATTTTTCAACTCTATGGTTCTAAATGACATAATTGTGTTTAAAGTGATCCAATGATCAAATAGCTCCTATGTTCCAGTCATTTCCTTGCAGAAGAGTCCTCTTACTGGTCACGGCCAGAGAGTGACAGGGCCTGTTGTTCATCAGGGTGCACAGGAGGGATCTTTGAAGAGAGTAGTGAGTAAATGTAGGGCCAAATCTTATCAGTTTCAGTCCCTGAAAAAGAGTGTAGGACTCCTTTTGTCCTGAAAGAAAAAATAAAACAATAAACATTAAAATGAAGACCTGGCCTTGCTGTTTTTGAAAGTCATACTGTATTAATTCAAGAATTAACTCAGCAGTTATAACTGCCATCATTTCGCTCATGGCAGAAAGCAGCAAGCATCACTGTTTTCAGGACTACAGTGCTGTTGCCTGCTAAAATTGAGCAAAGTCAGAAAGGGGAAATGAACCCTCCAATGGGATCGCTGCATTCAGTCAGGTGATCTTGTACAGCTTTCTGCTCTGTGATATCTCTAGAACAGCCAATCCCTACATCTAAAATTAGGTCATACTGCTGGAGAAACAGAAACAACAAAAGGCAGTCAAAGAAGAAGAAAAAAAAATAAAAAATAAATAAATACAAATTTTGATATCTCCTGCAGTGATGCAGGCGTTCATATTTCAGAAATCTAATGTCAGCTGGGCTTAGTGGGAATTCAGATCAAGGAAAGAATGCTTTTTTTCAAAGCTAACTTATAGCTGAGGAAAGTCTTCTCATTTTACCCAGTCCCCAAACCATATTTTCTTCCTGAAATATTATCACTCCATTTTGTCACTGTGTTTGTGCTGTTTCTCTCTCTAGGACAGTGTGTCTACCTGTGCCTAGAACATGTCTGTATTTCTTTTCAGTGTTACTTTGCCAGCACTTTTATAAAATAACTTTCTGTGGTCTCTGTAGAGATGTGCCACATTCCAATGGCTTATGATAACTTATTAAACAAAGCCTAACTTTGTTACATTTGGGACAAAGGTCAAAGTATCGCTTT